TAGTTTAAATTTTTTCTCACCCAAACCTAGACTGACAGATCTCGAATACCATATGGCAGCTCAATCAATGTTGAAGACCTTCTCGGTAATGATATTAGACTCTTCTAAAGAAGTACCATTGATCCATGTTTATAAAGAGAAAACTTATAGCTGTTTTGTGATGTTCTAAGCTCGCACAACGCAGTTTCACCATAGCTGAGCAGTGCTATTGCAGATTTTTGGTGGAAGACAAAAGCCGATAGTAAAGGAATCCGTTGGATTGCCTGGGATAAACTATGCACCCAACTATCAGAAGGAGGCTTAGGTTTTAGAACTTTGTAAGAATTTAATCTTGCTCTTCTAGCAAAACAGTCTACCATCAATGAATTCAAGAATATATATAATAACAATAAATGTAACTTCAAGAAGAAATTACTAAAATATAAACTAATATAGTTTTCATACTAGAAAAACATAAATCTAATGCCCAATAATAAGTGATAGTTTATTATACTAGAAAAACATAAATCTTTTTTGATTTGAATTAGTTGCAAGTCTTTTTTACATTATAGCTCCAATACTTTTTGGGAACATGAATTCGATCAAGTTTATATTTTCTAGGTTCATGATTCATGAAGTCGAAACTGAGGCAAAAATAAGATCTTGTCAACGAGGGACTCACAGGATGAAGTCAGAAATTAACGTTGTTGTGAGGTCGATCCAGCCAAGCAATGCGGTTAGACAAAAGGGTACTACAATGGGGACTAGAGCTTTTCTCATCATCCAAGACATGAGGAGTTTATTGTGCAAAAAGAAAGTTAGCAGACATAGAAAAACCGTTTCTCTCTCTTTCTCTTGGCGATAACAAAAGCGATCGCCATCGAAGACAACTAGTCAATCTTTCCATCCCTTTGGCCGGCGTCGATTCCTCCGGTGTCGGCCACAAACCTTTTTCTATCATTTCCTTTCTCTAATACTTGCATATTTCCTGTTTTTAGTGATAAATAATGGCAAATCGAAGATCTGCAATCTATGCTCTTTGCTACATAGTGATGGTGATATTTCAGATTTCTCGTCCAAATCCATTGTTATCGCTTCAGTTTCAATCCTCAATTTGGGTTGCCTATCGTTTCAATCTGATCTCACCGATGAATTTGACAGATTCATCCGATCGCCGATGCTTCTCGTCCCGTGATATATCGATTCTTTTGAATCGTGTTGTTTGTTCTTGTATCAGGTCTGTTCACGGTGGTTGCTTTCCCCGGCGGTATCTCCGGTTCCTAACCGATGCTTTTTCTCCACTCCATTTGTATGGAGATATCATTTGGGTTTTTGATCCTGGAATCATTGGAACCGTCTCGCCTAAAGGAATCGGCCTCAATAGGACTCAAATTGGTGTTACGCAAAGGGGAAATACGGTCACTAACCGGCAAAGATGCGTACGACATTACAAAGTTCATGGTTTGGAACCACTTCAATCAACATATCAGAATTTTATTTTATCTAGAGTAATGCGGAAAGCATTTAGGAGTCTATCTATATGATGTTAGCCTATTACAAGTGTATGAAGAGGGTACTTAACAGATTTATTCTGTTGCATGTAAGGCTTCCGTTTGGAAAGCAGGGTTACTTCCACTTCTTCATCGAAATTGTGTTCAATTTCTTTTATTTGTTTATCGGTTGTATTTGAATGGTTCCATGTATCATGTACACTCTTATGATTAATATAATTGATTTGCCGTGTTAAAAAAAAAAAAAAGAAAGTTAGCAGACAAAATATTAAATATAAAACTAATATAGGGACTAAACGTATAATTAACAGAATTACTAAATCGGCCGGTTTAGGGATTGCTTCTTCTTACTCGTCATCTTCACCAAACCACTGGTGGTGTTATCGCCGGCGTTTTGCAAGAGTTTCACCGGAAGTTGCAAAGAAGCAGAGGAATATGTACGGAGACGCTACTAACTGGAACGAAGATGAGTATAGAGAATCAATATTGAAGGAGCGAGAGATACAAACACGTACCGTATTCAGAACCGCCTGGGCTCCTCCGGCGAGAATCTCTAATCCAGACGCATTTGTTGTCGCTTCCAGCGATGGAACTTTAGCTTTCCATTCTCTAAAATCGCTTGTGTCTCAATCGGCGAGTTTTGGCTACTCGAAAGGTCAGGATGTTATGGTTGCTGAGCCTGAGAGAGTGGTTAGGGCACATGATGGTCCAGCTTATGATGTTAAGTTCTATGGTGAAGAAGAAGATGCTTTGCTACTTAGGTAGAGACTTAAATCCTCTTTGTTGATTGATGATTCTTTGAATTGTGATTGAGAGTTTGAAATTTTGGTCTGGGTTTGTGTAGTTGTGGTGATGATGGTAGAGTTAGGGGATGGAAATGGAGAGAATTTGCTGAATCAGAGATGTCTCTTCATTTTCAAGGTGTGTGTGTACCATCTTTGTGGTTTTTATATGATATGAAGGATGCTTTTTTGAGTTTGAAGATTAAGAGCTTAGTGGTTGTTTTCTTATGATCTACAGAGAATCATGTGAAGCCATTGCTTGAATTGACTAATCCACAACACAAGTGAGTTTGATGAGTCTTGTTCATTTGATTCTACTTGATCACACTGTTACTGCAAATGCTATAATTAAGGGTTCAAAATGTCAGTATCCGCAATAGTTCTGCTGCGTATAATCACCATTCTTTTTCTTTTTCTCATAGAGGTCCTTGGGGTGCTCTTTCACCGATGCCTGAGATCAATGCCATGTCTGTTGATCCTCAGGTTGGAATTGTATTTAAACTTTTGGTAGATTCACTTGAGTAGTGTTGTCTTTTTTTCCTTCAAATGTCCCATTAAATCTCATTCCTTGGTTACACAGTCTTACAGGATAACTGTTTCCCCCTCCCTCATTTTTTTTCGTTTATGATAGTCAGGCAGTGTATTTACAGCAGCTGGTGATTCTTGCGCATATTGTTGGGACGTGGTATGTATTTGACCATGGTAGATGTATGTCATATGTGGATCCAATTATCTAAACTTCCTAAAATCATTTCTGTGTATCCAACATTTTCAGGAGAGTGGTAAAATCAAAATGACCTTCAAGGGGCATTCAGACTATTTGCATACAGTAGTTTCTCGTAGTTCTGCAAGTCAGGTAATGGTGATCCCATAAATATTAGAAATGTACTATCCAAATCTGAGTTCCACATTTGGATTTTTGTCTGATTATAGTCTCTTTCTCCAGATATTGACGGGTTCAGAGGATGGGACTGCGAGAATCTGGGGTAACATGCTCACACCCATATTTCTTTATGCTGTAATTTCTAGTTTTATGTTTGGGTCATATGTGGTTATAGAACTTTTGAAATCATTTGAGTCTTCATGTTGGTACTTAAGATCCAATGCTCCTCAGTTTTGTTGGCTGCTTCTTACAACTCTATGATGATTCATTTTGGTGATTACAGAACTTTCCACTATGTTTAGTTTAGGTTTTGATTCATGTGGTTTACTTTAGTTGTCTAGACTAATTTGTTCGCTCAAGGGCTTCTTTCTGTTTTGTCAACCAGATTGCAAAACGGGGAAATGTGTTAAAGTAATTGGTTCTCAGGATAAAAAGTCCCGCCTTCGTGTTAGTTCGATGGCCCTTGATGGAAGTGAAAGCTGGTTGGTAAGAACTAAGCAACTAGATAATCTTACATTTTCGCAACCTGCTATTTGTTTGAAGGGATTGTTGCCTCCAATAACCTAAGAATATAGTTCCTTTCTCCTGCAGAATCACTTAGAAGTTTAAATACTGGACATTTATTTACTGTTATTGCTATGATTTTCTCCTCTTTCAGGTTTGTGGACAGGGCAAAAATTTAGCTTTATGGAATCTTCCTGCCTCAGAATGCGTATCAACAATATCCATCCCTGCACATGTACAGGATGTGATGTTTGATGAAAAGCAAGTAAGCAGAACAAAATTAGATTAAATCTAAGCGGTGTAATTTAAAGTCTGGGAGGCTGTAGGTGTTATTTGCTTATCAAGGCTTAATATGTTTATCTAGTGTCTCTTTGAATTATCTCTGTTCAACGAAATTGCTATAAAAAAAAAGTATTACTCACTTTTCTAAACTAGAAAAAGAGGTCAACACATAGTCTTAATTCCTTTGTCAAAGTTGAGCATCTTTTTAAAAATGTTGTCTTTATCTAACAAGTATCACACTATCAGATTTTGACTGTAGGAGCAGAACCAGTTCTAAGACGTTTCGACTTAAATGGAGCTTTGCTTTCTCAAATTCCCTGTGCTCCTTGTTCAGTATTTTCCATTTCCTTGCATCCAGCAGGAGTACGTTTCCAATCCCTTCTATTCTCCCCTTTTTCGTAAATATTTGTTTGCTTATCGCTTTTAAAAATTTGATATATCTAGAGATAACCCTATGTTACTGCTAATGTTATGTGAATATGTTACCTTTTTTGGAGTAGAAACTCGATGTTTAACAGTTGATCCAAGGCTTTCGTATTTGCAGGTAGTTGCTGTGGGAGGTTATGGCGGTCTTGTTGATGTCATCTCTCAATTCGGAAGTCATCTCTGCACATTTCGTAGCAGCTCATTGTGAAACTCCTTACTCGGTATGGCTCGATACCCTAAAGAGGTACCAAAGTCTGGATGCAAAAGATGTGTCAGTCAGATTATTGTCAGAAGTTCAGAACCTTTGCTTTGTTTTCCTTAGGTTCTTGCTCCTGAAAAAGAGTTCAAGATCCCGTTTCTTATATGTTATCAGAAGGTTACGGAGGCAGTGTATTGGTCCAGTTCGGCTTGATTTGACTAAAGACCAAATAGTTGTTTGGTTCAGTGTAATTGGTTTGTGGTTCCGTAGTTGCTATCGAATTTGAACCCTTCGACCGGTTTAGTCTGATCACATACATTAACTGCCGTCGAGTTTCAATTTTTGCGAGTCCCTGTTTTCTTATGACCACCATTGATCAGATATTTGAAAAGCAAAAGGGAAGATCAATGCAAACATTTTCATATTTCGATAAATAAATGATTGTGACTCTTCCAAGTAAAAATTTCACCATATTATTCAATTTAATACATGGACAAAAAATAGTTCCTCTCACTAGTCTAAACTCAAAACATCACCACCATTGAAGTTATAACGAGTGACATTCTTAAGAGCCCAATCCTTAGCTCGGTCATAACTTCCCATGACCTTAAGCTGATCATTAGGAATAGCAACCATAACTTCAAGACCAGAGCCAGCAAGTGCACTCATTGTGGTCTCATCCGCATCAAAAAGCTTAACTTTGTTAATGCTATTGTCCTTAAGCATTTGAACCACTGTCTTTGGTGGTAGCTTATGTGTAGCCATTGTTCCCCAGTACACACCTAGCCCATCAACCACAACAATACCCATGATTCCAAATCCAACGACGATGGCCAACAGATTCATCATCCTGAGAAACAATGAAAGGGCTTACTAGGGATTTAACCCAAATTCAAACGTGAAATGCTAAGAAACCCTTGACTTGAACATTCGTAAAATCTCACTTAAACCCAAGAAATCGAAAAATCAAAAAGTTCAAAGCTTTTCACACAAAATCTACGAGATAACCAAAAATGAAGCCGAAGATACGATTTTTAACAAACATAAAAAAATGAGAATGGGGACGATACCTTTCCACTGAGAGTAACTGTCGTCAAGCAAAAGATCGATTCTTTATTTGGAAAAAGCTTTGGGCTTTGATCTTTCTCTGATTGAAGTTGGAAGTTTTTAACCGAGCAAGAAAGAGACTTCACTGGAGCCTAGGAAACGGAGAGATCATTAGGTGAAAGCCCAAATTTAAAAAAAAACTGTAAGTAACATTTCACTTTTTATTGTATAATTTTTATGGTCTAAATTGTTATAAACTACTAGGATATGATCCGCGGTACACCGCAAGTTAATTATTTGATTTTTTTTTTATCTTTTTATAAATGATGAATTTGTTGTGTATAATATTTGCTTTTGTACACCGCAGATCATTGTAACTAAAAAAATAAAAAATTTAAATTGTATTTGTTTTGTTTAGTGTTTAAGATTGTATAATTGTATTTTGATTTGTTAATTCTAGGATTTTACCGTAGTATATTGTTCCGTATTAATATCGACTCAAACCCGTCCACCATATAATCTTGTCCTGTGAAATTATACATTATTTTGTTATTTTTTAAATAACATTTTTATTTATAAGACATATAATTCGAGTCAATTTAAAAGTTTGCTTTCAAATGGTTTTCATAATATATATATATATTTTAAATTAGTGTGTGTTTTTGGACCAACCCGTAAAAACAATTTATAATTATATCTTAAAATACTAAATAATTGTATTTTGATTTGTTAATTTTAGAATTCCACCCGTGGTATACTGTCACATTTTAGATAATTGTATAAATTAAGGAAAAATCCGAATAAGTCAATTTCGGGTCAGAATAAAAAAAAAAACCGACATGATTAAATGCGCAATTTGTTCTTCAAAAATATTAATATAGATTACACACATATTCTTTTTTTATTGATTGAGTAATATATGTCCGTTTTAAAAATTTGAATAATAACATATGCAGAAAAAAAAACTAAAATTTATTAACTATATATATTTTATAATAATTCAAAATAATATAATATAAGATCAAATAAAAGTGAAATGAGAATCATATATTTATATTTAAATTAGATAGATATGTTTAAGGAAATTAACTCAAATTTGTTATATTAGCAATAAATTATCCTATTTGATTTCCTTATCTATAAAAATCGTAAAGAATATACCATAAATATAGAGTTTAGTTATAGTAATTAGTTGAGAAAATATATACATTTTAGATTTTATTAAATAATTTTCGTTTTTAAAATTTGCCAAAATTTAAGGAAAAATCCGATTGAAGATTTTCGGGTCAAAACTGAAACAAAATCCGACCCGATTAGCTTTTCTTAAAAGTGTTGCAAAAATGTATAGTAGATAACGCAAATACATAATAATATATTATATTATATGGTTTATGAAATAAAGATGGACACTGAGAGAGAATAGTAAATGAGCAAACAAGACTTCTTATTTCTTCTCTCTTACCTTCCTAAAATCCAACGTACACAACATATATATATATATATATATATATAGTGAGCATAGAATTAGATAAGTATCAATTACTTGGGGATAAAAGAACTTGATGGCCAAGTAATTCAAAGGATAAGAATAAAGATGAGATCAAAATGACCACATTTAGTGATGGATAATCACTTTATTTTGTAACACTTCCCCTTGAGTATCCATCACTATTGATAGATTGCGTACTGCCTCGTTAAAAACATTACCATGAAAAAACCATATAGGAGAAAAACCATGATAAAGGAAAAGAGTGCAGTAACGCAATCTTCCCCTGGAACAGACGAAACTTGTTCTCTTCATAGCTTTCGTAGATGATACATCTTGAATATTCTTTTCGCTTCTTCTGATCTCGTCAATATATGGCAAAGATTTTTTAAGAGAGATAGACCTTCACTTTAATGTCTATCTTTTGCGTGTTATTTGCTGCCTCTTTAAACACCTTGTCATGGAAAAACCCAGTGGGATAAAAATCATGATAAGAGAAAAAGAGTGCAGCCACGCTCATCATCATATGTCTCCCCCTGGAAGCAATCATCTTCAAAAGAGACCTTTTGATTTGCGAAGATGCTTTAGAATGTTGTAGCAGAAAGCGCCTTTGAACTCAAACTGCTACATTGTTACTTGTCTGGATGTACTGGACAACAACTTCTTGCTTCTTCTCGAATTCTTGAATGCAAGAGAATAATCTTGAAGACATAGCTTCTTTTGAGTTGGGAAACATATGTAACAATGTCTTGTTGTTGGCTCTTCACTGGTGTCTATATTGCTTGCTTCTTGTATATGTTGAGTGTATCAATCTGAGCCATACAGATTCTCGACATGCTTCATGGAGCGCAATAATTTTGGCATGGCTTGAACAAGCGACGACCAAAATTTGTTGTTGAAAACGCCACAAAAACTTGTTGTTTTGCATTATATATTTTTATAGATCTGATATAGATCCTCCATCTGCAAAACCAACTAAACCAAACTTGGGGTTTCTAACATAAAATAAACCCAAGTCAATCGTACCTTGCAGATAATAGAGATATGTTTTAACTTATCTCAATGTCTTGTCGTAGGGGATGAGTTAATCCTGCAAGTAGATCAGAAGCAAATGCTAGGTACAATATACAAAATATATAAATGCTCGTCAGTATTTATATATTCTAGCTACAATTCACAAAATATATAAAATATTCTTGCTACAATTCACAAAATATATAAATGCTCGTCAGCATTTATATATAGTGCTTCATGATCAAATATATAGAGAGTCGACTTCCTTTAGAAGTGACTAATATAACATCTCTTTCTTTAAATGTTTAGTTGGAATATCTGGAGACACTTTTGTCTTTCTAAGATCTTTTATTCCAAATAACTCTTCAAGAGTTTCGATGATGTTCAAAAACACCATGCTTATAAGTTCCCGGGAATAGAATTATGATATCATATATTTTAGGATTAGTCCTACAGACATCCCATGAGGCGCAATTCAAGTCATTTATTCATCAACTCAATATTGAGTGATTTTGACAAAATCCGGTGCAACACACCGTCTTGTCTTAAGTATCATAATACTCTTTCGATGCTTGGACCATGTGTCCAGGAATTACTCGTTTCTTATACGAGATTAATATAGACTTGGCTGCGTCTTTGTTTATTGGCCAATATATATCTCTTTACGATCACAGAGCGGAGATTTATGATCCTCATTAATCACATTTGTGCACTAGAATATTTTTATTGTCGACATTATGTTGTCTTTGGTTCCATATTTGCCGTAATGACATGGTTAATCGAGATCTCTTAATCATTATAAATGATTTTATTCAGGTACCTGATTGCGTTATTTACCATGCCAATCGGTCTCTTTACTCCTTTTGAAGAGTCTCTTTGCTCCTCTTAAGGAGTCTCTATTCTCCTCTTTAGAAGTTTATATGCTCCTCTTTTAAGAGTTTAATCCTCTTTTTAGTAATAATATGCTCTCTTTTTTTTCCCAGGATTTTGTTTTTATTTAGAACCAAAGTTGTCTATCACGTTCTTTTACGTATTATAGACAATAATATGTCATCCGCCAGAGACATATTTTTTAGAGCATTTTTAGCTAGGAAAAGAGTTTTCGTATGAACTTTAAGTTCATATGCATTTATATGAGGATCAATAATTTCATGAAATCTCATCCATCATCTTTTTGCATTTGATTTGCATTTATTATGAATAGTGGTCTATTTAAACTTTTGAACTCTTAAGTTCATGTTTATTATTGTCATTTGTTCAAAGATCCAAAATATTCAATGATTCTCCCATAATAATGGAGAACTTTATCATCAACATGATGATTTGCAAATATTGCAATAGGCTCATCTCTCATAAGATGGCTCAGTATTTGTAGAGCAGAGACTCATCTCCTGCATCTATATATTTCATCCTTTTTGGATGATATTTTTATGCGGTGCAGAGGAGCATTTATAACATATATCTCACACCCATAAAATTAAAAATGAGAAATACTTAATCTCCAATCATGTATATATAACATGGAAGAATATTTCTTATACATTGTTGGCCTTGTATATAATTATTAATACATGCAAAACTGCATGCTCCATATAAAAACATGGAGATTAAATCACCATGAATCGTTTTGCAATCTCTTGGATTTGCGCTATGAACGATTCTCTAAAAGCTCATTTTGAGAGTGAACATCATTTTAGATGTTGCACTTTATTACAAAGTGATAAATTTTAGGATATGGCTTCACCAAAATTTATCGACTTACTAACGATGTGGGATTCCTTTAATTCTCCCCCTCGAGATGATAACTCTTCGAGTTCATTCATCTCGAATTGAATCCCACTTTAGGATCAATAACATATCCGATACAGATCATGTATTTATTCTTAGATCCTTATAAAAATGTGGGACTTGTAATAACCCCTCCCAAGATGATGGCTTTTCAAGTCTATTTATCTTGGACCGAATCTTATTTTTAGATCGGTTATATTTGGAGCTTAATTTGGGGATTATTGAGAAAATCAACCAGCATATATAATGAGCTTATTAAATAAAATAATGGTGATTTGGCCAAAAATCGTATGCTTCTGGAGGCTTAGCCTACCACAGAGTTAAGGAGGAGGTATACAACATTCAACTCTGTATATAATATAAAAATTTAAATGAATTTAGATAAACCGAAATAAATTCAACATAAATTAAATGTTACATCTGAAATGTGGACGAAGCATGCAGTGCTTGAATAGCATTCTATTTGTTTATATAAAATTTTAGTGATATTTAATCACTCTTTTTGAGTTCCAAATCTCGATAGAGATTTCTTAATAAAGACGTAAAGGCATATTTCCCTTTGTTTAACAAATAATTGCTTAAGCAATTATACCACATGCGTCCGGATTATTTTAATCCATAAATTGATCACTGTAATTTGACCGTACATATTTTATTAGACTTTGAGTCTAATGCATATGAAACTTTAAATCCTTCTTAGGATTCCCATGTATATATCATTATCCAATGATCCATATAAATATGATGTCACTACATCCATAAGGTACATTTATAAATTATAAGAGACCGTTAGGCTCCTTAAGTACCTAAATGTAATTGCATCTATGACCGGAGAAGATTTTTTTTTTTTTTTTTTCATAATAAACTCCAAGTCTTTGAGAAAAACCTTATGTAACAAGACGGGTTTTATATC